ATGCGTATTAACGCCAAAAATTCTTACAAAAAACAAAAACAAGTGAGGCACCTATAATAAGCCCTGGAATACAGAATTGGGTGAACCTGGTAAGAGACCGAGACGACAATTATATCATTACTCAGCATTATAGCTGCCATTCTATTGGCTTGGAACTTTTAACCAGGTTGTTTCACGAGAGCACCAATCTGAGAGCAGAAGTTTTGTGAGTGTACAGAATTAGTCAAACTGACGGACAGGACATTTGTATGAGCAGCAGTTCATCAGTGTGTAGTTTTGCATAAGAGCAGGCCAGATATAGATCAGAGCAAGGCTATTTGAGATAGAGGACAGGATTTTGTATTACAAAAAGCACTAGCAGTTAGCATAAAATGAAGAAGTAGTGGCCTTGAATTTAAAGCTTTTGATTAAAGATAGCAAAGTAACTCCATACACAGAACTCCTACCATGGATGCAGACTGATAGTTTGGCCTATTTTCTGTTGAATCGATGAGATAACCTGCAGGTTGTCTTTAATACCTTGACACTGATTGCAGCCGTGTTGCCCAGTGGCTATCGGCTCAAGACTGAAAGTTGTAAATTATGTAAAATAACCTCTAAATGTGCGTTCATGCGTGCTGTGCGAAAGAATAAAATGCGTAAATGTGCTTGACAGTCAAAAGAGTTTCTGACTGCAAGTAAACGCCTGAATTGACCATTTCCTGTTGTGATCTATGAATGTGTGTATGTGGATCTGGGTTCTCCACAAGTAATCAAAAGAACAGTCCCTGACCTAAATAGTCCTGCTGAATAAATGACCAAGGGCTTGACTCAGGTGTTCGTAACGCACATGCAAATGTGGTCAGTTTTCAAACCGTCTTGTTGTGCTGTTGGTTAAATCCTATTAGTTTGACCTTTAAACCCGTTCACTTCCTCCTCAGGTGTGCAGCAAGTACGAGAAGAATTTTGCTGCCCTTTGAGCATCACGTTTTACACATTTTCATTTATTTCTTGCTGAAAAATGGCACTAACTTTTCGCCCAGGGGCTTTCTGCTCATACTGTTGCAAAAGAAAAGAACACTGACTGACTGAAGCTGCCAGCATGTGAGCGTCTGCAGTCTGATTAACACAGACGGCACATATGCAATCACGCAAACACGCAGCGCATATTCATGTGCATAGCCACAGATTGCCGTAGAGCTTTAGATAACAGGATGTAGACTGAGATTTACAGATGCACTGATTATTATTCTAATATCAGTATTCATTTATTCAGATGCTTATTAACTCGCAGCAGACTGACAGTTCTTTCTCTGGATGATATGACTGTGAGCTCGATCATCACGTCGTATAACGGCTCATTTAACTCTCAGTGTGCGAGGAAACCAAAGATTTGTGTTGTTAATTACTATGAAGACGTGCTTCTAGTTTTAGTTTCCGTCAGCTGACGAAGTCTTGAACAATGTCGACGGGAAAAGAAGAAGAAAAGAGGAAAAACTGGAGCACTGTGTCAATGCGCTGAATGGAGATGATGACCCAGTGTGGCACAAGCCAAGTCAGCCGACAATCTGACCAGTTTTGGTTTTGTCATCTCTAATTATGACAGTTTGTAATATGGGTCAGTGGTAAATAGAGGTTACCACACGAGGTCCACTGACTCATCCTGCCAGATTGGTGTGTTACAATCGGCGGGGCCTCGCCGAAGCCAGCGTTATGCGTCAGATTTTGAAGTTGATGAAAGGCGTGCGTCGAATGTAATCACGCTTGTTACCGAAGTGACACAGAAATCAAGAAGTCACGAGAGAACGGCAGAAAGACTGGATTTTTCTACCGTCCTTCCTGCCATTATCACACCACGGACTGAAAAGGGGGTAAAATGACCAAATGTGACAGAGGTGGTTGTGTAGGAAGAAGCCTGGTGCTGTTGGAAGTAGAGCAAAATGGAAAATAATATAAATAATACGAACCCCTGAAATTGTTTTAGGGGTGCTGAATATGAAAAGTAAACATCCAATTTGGTGTCAGAGTCCAAATATAAGCAAGCTGAAGTTAGAAAATAGATTTTAAAATATGTGATGTATTTTCTGTGACTCACGGGATCAGAAAGGTCCAAAGTAGTCAAAAGAATTGAAAGATGTCATTTCTGAAAAACCACAGGTAGAGCCAAGCCATTCATTGCTTCATATGTCTTGACCTAGTTTGTGGTTCTGCAGGAAGCGGAGGGAAAATATTGGCCCTGCGTCACAGTCTGTGACTTTACGTCAAGGTAAAGACGACTACTGTTGTGACTCTACTAAAAAAAGCAGGCAGTGTGGTCTTACCTCAATGTTTAAGGGTTAGTTTGTCCAAGTTAGCTGTTCCTAGCAAGAGTTTGTGCTTCAACTGGGTGCATTTCATTGTGCTTATTTTTAGTTTGAGAAATTTTGAGTCTTTTTAAGAGAAGAACTAAGAAATTACGAAGAAACTGTGTCTCTAAATCTATACATTATACATTCAGCGTCAGCCATATTAATGTCGTGGTTGGAGGGATGGCAAAGTCCAACCCAATCTCCACAAAATTACATTCCTCAAAGCATCATTTTATTTTGAAACAAACACATTTTCTGTTTTATAAAGTTGTAGGAAGGGCCTCCAGTTTGAATAAGTCCATGTAGCAAGGTGAAAGGTGAGGATGGAGGCGTAAGTAGGCATGAGTCAGGACAGTAGTTTCACCTAGAAGACCAGGAGTCACATCCTGTATGGGGCCATTTTTTTTACAAAATTATGCTTTTTAGTCAGATTTGGCCACCAAAACTATATGATTAGATTTTGCGAAGGTATGCTTTGGTTGACGCTTTCACAATAATATTTGTATTGTAGAAGCTTGGTTAGGTTAAGGTACAGTGGGCGACGGGGGCAAATGACGTACAAACGAACTGCGTGTAAATGAATGCATTGTAGAAACAGAAACGTGCTGCAAAGGGAAAACGCTGCAAACATGGAAACACGCTGCACATCCAGTCACACAGTGGAAGTGCCCCAGGCCTCTAGGGGCAGTAGTGAGCTTTTGACCTGAGAGGCAGACAATGGCGAGCGAGACAAGTAACATTAGTTGAGCGAAAAGCTGTATGAAAAGGTTTGTATTCTCTCGTCTCCATGGATAAATATAAATCGCAGCGAGAACACAGGGGGACAGTAGTAAAACACCACTTCAGCACCCATATAATCACAATGACTGAAAAGCTAAAGACCTAAAATCTGCCCCAGAAGCCTGTGGCACTTCCGTTGTGTGACTGGATATGCAGCATTTTCCTTTTGCTGCGCATTTCTGTTTATGCAACGCATGTATATGCAGCTCGTTTGTGTATATGCACGTCATTTGCCCCCGTCGGCCACCGTATTAAGGCGCCAAAAGTAGCAACTTAAACGTTCCTAAGCAAACATGATCTGGGTTAAAACACGACCCACTATATATTTGAAGCTTCTACTCCATTTTCTGGGTTACCGCCTCATCTTACGTACGATTGGTTGGTTGAACAGGAGTGATAGTAAAGCAGTAACATAGATGGCAAAGATACGTTGATTTGAAATACATCAGAAACTTAATCCAACAGAAGTTATATATTTTTTCCCAAAACATAACTAACAATGCACTTTAGTTGTGTGGAACTATCGCTTTGTGGGGATACATAATTGCAGTCTGCAGTTTGGACTATTTTTTTTTGTTTGTTTTCCATTAAAGTCTCTAAGCTAACTCATGGTTCCCCAGAGGGTGAATCTCATTAACGCTGGTGATCCTGCCAAACTATTTATCTGGCACCACTCGCAGATCACAAAACTTTTCTCAAACTGTCTACTTTTTCTCTGAAGGTCTGCTCTTCCAAAGCACAATTCCGTATCACCTAAAGCCTGCATTAAGTATTAACTTAACTTATGAGTTCTGTTATTGAGCCACAGCAAGAAATTCAGACTTGAAATAACTCAGAAAAATATCAATTTTGATGCTCTTGCCTCAAAAAAGTCCCGAAACGAGCTTTTACCTGGTCATTTTTCTCTGCACCCCGGTGCCTCCGATGCTGCCTGTGTAAGTAGGTCAGGGTGAACAATTTTATAAGCCTCATCAGCAAGTCATGTTCAGCTCGGCCACTATGTGTTGTTGTTCAGATTGATACGATTAAGCTTTTTTTTCTTTGTCCTAATGACAAAGTTGGCAAACTGCAACAAGTGCGGCGGAGGGAAATTAAACCAATTATGTCACGTGTTTACGAATACACAAATGACAGTGCAGAACTCACACATGTCGCGTAAATTGATGAAAGCCTGCTGCATGTGTCTGGCTTTTTGTAATTCACACGAGACACGCGCGACACACGAGAGGCTTGTTAGTGCAGCACTTTTACTTAATTATGCCCCTTGCATTATCTCCATCACGCAAGTCTGTCGATGTTTCAGTACACAGGTGTGCCAACGCGTTTTGTTTTTTTTTCTTGATGAAACAAATCTGTGTCAGTGTGCCACTTTCTGATCAGTTATATGTAGGTCAGTGTGTCTCCGCGTGTTTATTTTTGCCACAAGGCTGAACTACGGCGTGACACATGTTGAAATCTTATCTTTTCGAAGGGCATTCATTTTCTTTGAATCAATACAGTGTCGTTTTACATGTGCCTTCATGCCTTCATTTATCGCTTACTACATCAGCAAACAATCGCTTGTTGGAAAACCCTGGTTTTCTTCTTCTTTCTGCTTCCGTGACACTCAGGAAGCTACTTATTTGCTTTAGCACAGCTGTTGGAGACACATCCGATTGACATTTGCTTTTAATTTAGATGCAGATATTATTTTTTATATTTGTTGCCCTTCTCATGTAGTCCTCTGCCTCTCTTGGACTCTTTCACTACGAATTTAATATCTTTTAGAAAAGTGTGAACCGACCTCAAGTGGGAATTCAGTTGAGGAATTGTTTGCATATTCAGTGCATATTGTTCATGTAAGCCACTCTTTGTCAGTCTCACTGTTTTCTTTCTCTCCTGTTCTGTCTTCAGTGGTGCCAGTCCTGTTGGTCTCGTCCTGACTGCTATAGTAGCCGTGGCTTACAAGGTGGCAATAAGATTTGAGGGGTAAGTCTTTCTCTGTCTCAGTCCCTGTTCACATTTGTCATTAAAAAGTGTTGGTTAATCATGTTTATGGGTTATTTGAAAGCAAAATATGGCAGAAATATTAGTTCACAACAAATTATCCCCAATAAAACGAGATTAAAATCTAAAAAGTACATTTCAGAATAAAATGAATTTCATTTTCGTTCACAAATAAAAACTAAATGGTAATGTGGAAGATGGACAAATTGGTCAAATGAACTACTGTTTCAGTGCAAAGTCTGATTTAACAACCTGCATGCATCTGCAGTCACACAGCCCTGCACCTGATTAATAAGTTGGTATTCCAGATATGTCTGTTAATAATGATTGATGAATTACGGATTTTTGGAAGACATGGAGGACTTTCCTAGAATCAGTAACAAAAACAAATGAGACAAAGTACAACAACACAACCTGCACGTGAGCATTTCCAAATGCAATCAAGTGCTACAGATATGGATTTATTATTAACTTTACTCTCAGAAGGCTTTTGTGCTGCTAACAGAGGGACTGCGTAATATCCAGGAAGGACATGAGCATAGTAGGTGTAGTAATGATAATGCTAAGTGAGCAGGAACAACAGAGAATGAGTGGCTCTGTTCAAACAGGAAGGGTTTGGAAATGATAACTGGATTTACTGAGGGGAGAATGTATGTTGCTGCATGGCTGTCAGGCACAGGGACGTGCACAGTGTGCATTTGAAGAAGTAAACAGTGCTGTTTCCACTTAGGCAACACTTAGTGACCAAAACAAAAAACATGCAGCTATAGCATTAAAATACTAAGAACACTTAAGGAATACTGGATAACAAAAATTAGGCTCTAAGTCACAGGCAAAAAACTAGTTTTAAATGTTAGTTTTTGTTGACCACATCTAAACTAAATGTGAACTACATTTTTGTCAAAATATTAACGCTAAATCAAAATCAGTTTGCAGAGTTAACACTCGTCATGGATGTAAATCATACCATATAAACTGTAGTTTGAATGCAAAGTTCTGTCTGACCAACTGTCAATTTGAACCACTTAGATTTTCAGTTTGAGTAGACTCCAAATCTATAATCCAAAAACAACAGAGGACCTAAGATCGATCCCTGTGGAACTCCAAATTTTGCATCTTTGTAACCTGGCAGGTAACCCATCACCTACTGTATGTTCAGCGAGGTCCAAATGATAATCAACCCGACTAGATGCTCGATACGTTTCCATTCCACTGCAATAGATTTCGGGCCTGTGTGTCCATGTACCTTAGGCTTAGGTTATATCTGACTGTTCAAGTGTTTCATCTCATAATAAAATTTGGATTTGTTTTGATACATTTTAACAGTATACAGTATGTTTCTCCCCATCTGTGAAATCATAAATGTGATTGGAGACCCATCTTGCTTTACTCAGCTTACATGTAAATAAGCATAAGAATAGGCTCACACAGTGGTGACAATGCACCTGAAGGTGTTTGGTAACTGTCAAAAATGCCAGAAGAGAAGACTTCTGCATGTTATCAACTAGTTACAACATAAAAAAGTTGGCATTAACACGCCAACATGAGTGAACAAAGAGTAAGACAGAAGTTTTGTGAACTTTATGGGCTCTCACTCCTTTCAACTAATTCAGGTATTACCTAACCTTGAGTTCTATTGTAATCACATAATTGCAGAGTGACAGCTCATCCACTTATCATACTTTCGGTGGTCCTCATGAAACGGCAGCATGCAGTTAATCAACGCAACTAAAAGGGTACATGTTGCTCAACTATAAGTAAGCTTTTTGTCAGACTAATGGAGCTTTCAGACACAATGCAATATGCACTTTGCTCACCTCATTACTGTAATTAAGATACTTGAACAGCTCTTTAAAGCCATTAATTGGCAGCACATAGGAAATGTAAGCTAGGTTTACATGTAATGCCTACCTACAACAAGCTACCTGACTGGTAAAACACACCCGACATGTGTACTTGGATGGAAACCTGTTTACAAGATAGGGCTTTCCTCACAAGGTCTCAATACAAACAAATACAAACTTGAAATTCAGCCACACAATATCAGCTTTTCTTCCATTTTACATTCCGTACCTGGCTGGATGCCTTCGATTCTGTTGGCCCCCGAGGGCATTCATTGCAGCGTGCAGCAGGCAAAGTTCAGCTAATTTGTGTGTGCGCGCTTTGCTTGATGCATCGACAGACCGCGTGTTTCAGACGCGTCAACACGTTTCGTCTGAGAGCTCGTTACGGGTCACACACCCACGCACAATCACACACAAGTCCACTTGGCTCGCACAATGAAACACCACTCTGATCTCTGAGCCTGTGTTTTCTCCCAGACGTCATCTGCATTAATATAGAACAGCATTCATTAGTCCTGCATAAAGCCCCTTCAGTTAGATGGCCAAGAGAGACCAATTTACCAAGCTGGGCGTCGGGTTTTTTTTGGGGGGGGTTGTTTTTTTTTTTTTTCACACAATGAAAGCTCCCCTGGTCAGCCCTTTCTCCCTCGCTTCTTGTAATTCTCGCCGGTTTCAAGGCACGGCCTCAAACACTGTTACGAGCGACCTACTTCTGGACATCTGTCCTCGCAGACACACGCATGTGGAACTACACAGAAATACACCAGCATGCTGCTACTACATAATCCAGTCACAAATGAGGCAGAGCATAAGCAGCTGCTATGAGCACTTACTCATCAAGCCTATTGTGTGTGTTTGTTTGAGTGTGATGCTTTCTCTTCTCCAGAGCAGGTGTAGAGGTGTTTGTTTGAATGTACTTGTGTTAACTGTCTTTTGCAGTGCATGTGTGGGTAACCTGTCGCATAGCAGTATAGCAGCGACTGACAAGTTGCACAGATGTCCACGTTACACTATTAAGAACCCAGAATTAGAGCAAACAAGAAAAAACAGACAAAGGCAAATGGTTAAAAGTATGATTAAGTGGCAACATGACTAACGTTATCACAGACAGACACCAGGAACACTCCGTCCAATGGAAAATGATCCAAATACCAGCCGGCAGACGACTTTTCATGAGCCTCTTTTGTTGTTTTCCTTCCTCACCGAGCTCTTTAAGGCTAGTTTAGTTGTTTTGTATTCACATATTTTCACCTGTATTTCTGCTGCTACATAAACCGGAAAAGATTCAACCTGCAGTGTCCTCGTATTCCCAATCGGCAAAACGGAAAAATGAAAAGTTATAGTTGGAAAGGAAGAGGGATGTTGCCAGTATCTGAGGGATACTTTTCTAAAAATGTCACACGCTAACACACGCTGTGCATGAGAGCGCAGGTGTGCATGTCGCTGCTGCAATTTCCCCGCAGCGCTGATCTGCTGTTGTGTCATTTAGCCCAAACCTGTGAACTGAAGGAGTGGCAGGTGCCAGATTTTACCACACACCGCGACCGGGGGGAGGATATTCATGATGCTATATTTGTCTTTTGCCTCTGGCGTAGACTCCGAATGATCTCATTTAGTTAAACAGCGCATGGAGAGCGAAGCGTCCGGTGGGACATTAGCTCCCACGGTGATTGAAATGGGTAAATCCACCAACGGGATGCGAGCGAGCTGCTGCTTTTTCAGCTCCCCCCCCCGTTGTACAAAAGTGAGGTGCGGTGGTGAAAGCTGACTCGGCTGGAAACAGACCTGCCTTTGACCTTTTTTTTTGAGGACTGATCTGCTCTCTTTCCCTCTTATTTATTTCATTACATTTTGTTTCAGCTCAGCTCAGCTCAAGTTCTGGTTTGTGTCTCACCAACAAAACCAGAGAGTTGTGTTTATGTTCACACTGGAGTTCCTGTGCAGAGTCTTATCCAGGCATTAATAATATTTGGGATGTCAAATCTGCTGACATTAAACAGGTACTTTTTCTTTCTGTCCTGAGGTGACAGACTAACAGCAAACACCAGAATCTGACCTTCACTTGTAGATTTCATAACCACGTTTTTTAAAATTAATTATTTATTTTAATTCCCTTTATTATTTGATTGTTAATATCAGATTTGCAATTTAACTTGCAACATGGCGTCCATAATATTTTCTATAATTGCAGTTGTTTGCACATGCTCAGTACATCATTCATTTTATTTTCAACACTCCTGTGGCTGAGTAGCATCGAGCAGGTCCTATCTAGCGACTGAATTAGAAGTAGAATAGTTCGGTAACAACTTTTAGATGAGTTTAGGTGTGTGGATGTATTTTAGGAACTGGACAGTGGACTCAAAATTGGCACCCAATGATTTCACTTTAAAATGGCGTAGAGCAAGTAAACATGAAGGTATTGTCAGAGCTAAACAGCCGAGCAGCTGTGACAGTGGAGCTTAGTTAGTGTAGAAAATAACCACACATGTATCAGTAAGTTTGAAGATCCTGAGAAAAATTCTTCACTAGATGAACCCAACAAGATTTTGTTCTCAGCTACACCTGCTCAGATTTTTCATTGCGCACATGAATGAATCCTATTCAGTGAATCGCAAACTAAGAAACCCTTTCTGCTCACAATTTTTTTTGTTGCAGATGCTCCAGCGGATATTGTGCTTAACACATTCACACATCCGTATCAAATACTGTGAAGTGGAGGAGAAAATTTGTGAAACAGCGTGTGAATTCATGCGCTGGGAGCTGTACACCTGTGCAATATTTTCTCACCTACGCAAGTTTCTTTTGGATTTTCTTGGAGCACAAACACAAGTCAACAACTACAGCTGCTTGGATATGACTCTCAAAGGCTATTTTTTTAAGATATGCACAGTCTCATCTGGGCAGCATGTATCTCTGTGAGATGTGGAGTTAAAGAGACTCTGAAAATGTTTGGCTCTCACCCACTTATATACTTGTAGACTCTTGGTTGTAGTTTAAATATTTGTGCTGGTCAGCTTTGTTAGTAATCAATGTCATTTTCCACTGCAGGAGTTGGAGCTCTGTTTTAGGGATGTGTCTTTTACCGTCTAACGAGAGACGGCTAGATGACTGGCTAATGTAACAGTGTAATTTAAAGGCTACCATTAGCTTAGTGCTTGGTTAACCTGCAGGTACTACTAAAAATGTTGATTAGCAGTGTAGCTGAGCAGCATGCAGGGGACAAAACTTCTGCAAGAGTGACCTCTTATCATATCCATGGCAACGTTGTATTTGCAAAATTTCTTCCTCTGCACCTGCTTGGCTAACCTATGGCTTAAAAGTTGAAAATATGCCAGTTCTTCCGCCTCCTGTGCACCTTTCAAACTCGTCTTGTGATCCAGCCGTCAACCTGTCGATGGAGCAAAAACATGCTCTAATTCCTGTTGTGTTCTTGGACTCCAGTCAAATATTTTTTTTCCTCCCACCTATCAGGGCTGTTATTTTTCCCAGATTCCTTCAATTACACTCCAGGAGCAAAGCTGCAGCTACAGATGTTAGCCTGATACTTGGGATCAAGTGGTGAAAAACTGTTCATGCCTGACAGATTGGAGGAACACGTGGAGAGACGAGGCATCTTCCTGTCGCACACTCACACATTTCAGCTCCCTCACGGTTCAACGCACAAAACGAGCTCCTGGCACGGAGTGGTACGACGCTCGAGTCTCTCATTTATTGTCCCATTACATGTTTGTTCTTCTGTGTTTACAGACCATTCACCGAACAGATCTATCAGGAGAGGAGTCAGCGACGCAAGCATGAATAATTGCCTCCCTCCCAGGCACTTCTTCCCTCCTCTCGGCTGGTGCTGAGGGATTCCCATCCTGTCATGTGGACAGACACACCGAGCAGCATTCTGGGTCATTAATCGACCTCCAGCGTGGATACAAAGGAAACGTTCACACTGCTAATTTAGCCTATATGAGTGGACATGTGGCCATTTTCCTAATGTACTTTAATTCTGGACCACGTGACTGTGAATACTGAGAATGTCAAGTACAAGGAATACACTGATGTATCTGGAGATGAGAATATTGATACCACAAAGAGAAATTTCACTCGTACTACACATGAAAATCTATTTATAAGTTTTGGATATTCCCACTGCACATGTGAAAAATGTTCCATCCCTTTGTGGTTCTATGTCTGTGCTTGAGGCTAGAAGCTCGAGGCTACATCAGCCGCTATCAACTTTACAGAAAACCTTTTATGCATGACATAAAAAAGTCAATATCTCTGGTTCTTCTGCAATTGATTCTGCATTATATAGGTGTCATAAAAAAACAGGGAAGTCTTTCTTTAAGTATGGAGCTAGAGCTAGAAGGTAATTAGCCTAGCGTAGCATAAAGGCTTGAATCAGGTGGAAATAGCTCATTTGACTGATGTACCAACAACTGTAAAGCTCACTAAGATTTGTTTTATCACCATATAAATGGTTATATGCCAACATAGATGCTGTACAGATGTAAGTAGAAATGTCAGAATAGGCTGTTTCTTAGTCTTTATGCTAAGCTAGGATAACTATCTCACTGCTCCAGCTCCATAGTCCACACACAGACATGACAGTGCTATCAATCTTCTCATCGAACTCTCTGCAAGAAAACCAGTACTTGTGTTGCTAAACATGTTGAGCTGTTCTTCAAGAGGTACGCCAGGCTACATTTCTACTGTATGTACAGTAAAAACACAGAGCAAATCAACGAGAGAGAACAGGAACCCATAAAACCTTATCTGAGATCTATCTTACTGCAAATTTATGTCAGGAATTGCAGAGAAATGTTGCCACAGGTGAAAGTTAAAGGTATACAACCCAGTCCCAACTGGTTTCAAAGGCTACATCCACACTAATACTGCATTTTTGTTTCAGAAATAATCTCCACACATATTAACACACCTCAAAAACCAGATTACATGACCGTTTACGTAGACATGCAGGTATAAACATGAAGCAGTGGTTCCATTGTTGGGTTCTAGTAAACACTACAGAGGAAGAACAGCACCGGCATGAAGTACAACCAGATATTTCCTTGACTTCACAACAGCTGCCAGCATAGACAACAAGGCCTGTAGCCTAATTTTTTTTATCTATGTTGAATTAACTACTGATAGTCAATAGTTATGGCTGCATGCTAAACTGCATACCATTTCTTTTTTTTTTTAGTACAGCAGCTCTTGCAAAGTACGTACGCATGCAACTGGGACATATGGCTTTATCATAATATTGCACCTTAAACTCTGACCATCTTGCTCTTGTATACATCAGTAGGTTTTGCAAAATGTGTGGTCATCTGTTCTGTCAGTGTGGGCTCGGCAGCTCAAGATGGTTTATACTCACGCAAGATTCCCTGAAAGATGGTTTCTATACTTCAAAATCCAATCAGATACAGTAGGGTGTGATATTTTTGGCTCACTATATTTGACAAATTATGTTTTGGGACACACTAAATCTTTTTTTCTGGCATACTATGTAGTACTCTACAATGGGTGTTGGAATGCACCCTTCGTCTTGGTTTTTCTCTGCAAAATGCGAATTGATAAAAGCGTGACAATCAAGGAATGAGCTTAGTGACAGTCAGGCCCCTCAGCAAAGCAAACATGGTTGTCTGCATCATTGTTTTTCAGATTTTTCCATTTCGGCTCCTCCGGATTAAAACAAAATCCTGGAATTTTCAAATTGAAATGAGCTACATTTTCAAAAGTCTCCATTTTAGGGGTTCTAAAACATGGGAGTTGTGGACTCTGGGCACCAGATGTACCAGAAGTTATGTGCTTTAAAATGAAAACATATTGGTGTGGATGTAGCCTTAATGATGCAACAGTCACGTAAAGCATTAAAGGAATAAAGATACAGCGTTTTTGCTCACCTGTTTTTAGGAATTGAACATACTAGGAAACACACTAGTATAAACAAGCCCATTCAGAGAGCTCTGTTCCATTTAGATGTACCAATAAGTCAGGATAGTGAGCCAGCATGCACAAAACAAAAGCCTCAGAATCGATGCACCTGAATAGAATATTTTCGTAATTAATGTTAATGATTACAGCGATTTGATATGTCAGACTATCTACTGTGAAAAAGTCCTGTTATATTCATGACCTATTGACGTCAATAGCTTTCCAAATGTATTGTTCCAAATCAGTGTTTTCTCTTTGCCATTTGCATTACTGCATTCTGACCTGTAGGAACTGATGGTTCTTGATGTAAAATGCGATATAGATATATTCATTTTGTGATATCAGCCAAGACTGGAAGCACATGAAGACCAACAGCAGATTTCACAAAGCATGTCTAACTTGTTTACCACTGCTGCAAGTTATTGATTAATCTGAGTGGTCTGACTTTCTATAAAGTGAAATCTTTGTGGACCAAATTGTGTTTATCAAAGCAGAAAGTAAATTTAAAAGTTGATTCCTCAGGGCAGCAAATGTATTTACACTGAATTATAGTTTTGGATCATATTCTGTGAATCTAACACAAGTCTAAGATAATATTCAACACTGTCAGAGTTTGAGTGATTTTATACACCTTTTTCTTTTTTTAAATATTTGATAATAAATCATTTTAAACATCAGAGGAGCTCTACCAGTAATGGCCTGATAATGTGCTTTTTGTTTATGGGATATCTTTATGTAATAAAAGAGTGAGTCAGAGTGTGAAACACAGGTCTCTTTGTGTCTTAAGAAATCAGGACTACTAATGGAAGCACTTAAGGCGAGACTTTGCATATCTCCCTCTTCCAGGCAGATGTGTGGGTAGGAGTCCATGCATGATTGTTCTTCCTTTACATGAGTCATTAAAATTAAGACAGCCCTAATTATTTTTTACCATTACGTAATTCATAAGTCTGATGATAAAAGTTTTCAAATCAGTCAAACCAGGTTGAGCCACCACTAGCTAGTGAAAATGTATCGTATGCCAGTTTAGTGGTATTAACGATTATGTTTAGTTAATACTAGGGTTGTTTAAATTTTCAGGTTATCAGTTCAATTTATTTTAATTTTATGTATACAGCCCTGTCCAGGGTGTCCCCTGCCTTCGCCCTAAGTCGGCTGGGATAGGCTCCAGCCCCCCCGCGACCCTAGTGAGGATTAAGCGGTGTATAGATAATGGATGGATGTATACAGCGCAACTGACAACAACTCCATCCAAAAAAAAACCTCTGACAGAACCAGGCTTAAGGAAGGCAGCCATCTGCCTCGACCGGTTGGGACGGGGGCGGTGGGGTTATCCATCCAATATCATTTTTACTAGCCATGCAGACCCACGAATGGGTTGTTGGTCGGTCACCCATTTGCTATTCTGAATGACAACACTCGATTTTGAGAAGTTTTCAGCTGATATTTGTGGTCTCAAGATATTTGTGATCCCCTGACTTTTCTTATAGTGGTCAATTTTTATTTGCTTGTGTCTCAACAACTATTGGATGGATTGCCAGGACATCTGAGGATGAATTGTAAGAGCTTGACAATCCCTTAAACCACCATGTGGCTGATTTTGCTCTGCCCAGTATTTTACTGTTTTTCCAATATCTGCAAAACGAATGACATCCCATCAGCCTTGAACAAGTTCTTTAAATACTGCGTTAGTCTACTTTTGTTCCTCCAAAATCTTCTGCATCAACACATCACATGTTTTCTTTAACACGTGTAAAATGGAAACAAGAACAGTGTAGTTTAACAGGCAGGGACCTTTAAAGTTCAGAAAGATTTACAGACCAACCAACAACACCTATCTTATGATGTGTTTATGCAGAAAGTGTTTCAGCCACTTGTCAGTCGTCCAACTCTTATGCACCAGATTTGGTCTTGTGTAATCATCCCAACTGTCAACACAAAAGGTTCAATTTACTCACACTATAAGCCTGGAGGCATGAGCCAAATCATGTTTAAGTCTATTGTCCAGCTTGTTATGCTTTTAACTGTAATAATTATGAATTAGACTCTGGGCATTTTCAAAATGTGGGTGTCCTTTGCCTACAGTAATGCAGTACAACCCAACACTGACCATTACTAAATATCAGCATTAGCATTGTCTTTAGAGATTGGTATCATGTTTTGTAGCTCACAGCACCACGAGTTTTGGCTGAAGAATCTTAGTTATGTGGCTCTGGCTGTGAGAAATAGCTAGTGACAAAAAGAAAAACCAACATGAGGTGTTTTACTAACTTGCTACCAGAAGAGCTTCAATGCTGCTAATATTGATTCTCATACTCTCTGGAATTAAAGGGATGAACATCCTTCGTACATCATATGTACACAACACACAATATCTTCTCCACTGACTTTTTTACCTAGTTATCATGTCCATCTGATATTTTTTTATATGTTAGAAGACACATTGTGAGTAAAATCGGCGGCATTTCCACCTCAAAACTGCAGTGTTTCGATGACCGATGATGTCAAAAATAGAGATCTACCCTTTTGGGGTTTACATGTAACAAAGCTGCGCTGTTATTCTTCTTCCTTAGAATCATTTTTCAGCTCAAAACTGTGTAGTTGAATTTGTCCGATATTAGAAAAGCATGTTTCTGTAATGGTGTATGTGACACAGTGAGTCCATACATACATGTGAGTACACACTTGTATCATTGTGCACTGTGTTCGATGCTAACAACGTTATGCTAGCACACTCACAATAACAATTTAGCACTTGTCATCTGTACCATATTCATCATCTTAGCTTAACAGGTTAGCATGCTAATATGTACAAATTTGCAAGTAACAGTCGTTGAACTTGATGCTATGTTTGCCCATGGACTAGCAATCAGGAACATTTCAATTTTACCCTGATAATTGTGCGAGCTGAAAAGTGAAATCATCACAAATGTTGGTGAATTTCGCCATGTGAGGTAAATTACATCTGCACCAGATATGTCCACCTGGACCAGAACGTGGACCGATAATAAGGAAAATCAGACACAAAACAGAACAAAACGAATACAGTATTTTAAAAGAAATAAACTTTAAACTCAAGTAACATCAGGACAGGCCCTTCAATAAATTGCTTAAAGTGACCCGGCTTCCTCAGGCAGGTCAGTCCAGGTCCGTGGGGCTCTGACGGCAAATGCTCTGTTTTTCAGCCAGACCCTTGAAACAAACAAAGACGTCTACTCGATGGTCTAAAAGAGCATGCCAGTGCGTATGGTATTAAAAGTTCAGAGATATAGCTGGAAGACAGACTGCAAAGGGCCTTAAACACAACCGGCAACACTCAGCTGTGCAAATAGCGTGCTTGTGTGGCTACAGATTTGTTTCTTACAAGCCAGATAAAATGTGTCCTGCTATTGTTGAAAGGATATGAATGTGAGAAACTATAAACAGCATAGTGGAGCAATGTTTAAAAAAAAAAAAAAAAATGGCATCAGAAGACTGCTGTAGGATGCCATCAAAATTTTTTGGACTAAACACACAAATATGCAAAAGTCACCTCACTTCCAGTCAGCCCACAACCTGACAGCCACTACAGAAGATGAAAACACTGTTTATAGATGTATAATACAGCTTTTTTAACTCATCTGGAAGCTACAGTACCAGGACAAATAGAACACGATGAGTCAAGAGCCCAGAATCTCTGAAAGCACTTTTCATGTTTTTAAAAAAGTATTGATTTTCACAAAACCAACTTCCACACATGACTGTGAGGAAAGATAGCGAAAGTATGATCAAGATAGTTGTTTGTGTTGCTGTGACTGACCTACTTTTGAGAACAAAAAAAAAATGTTTTCTAATGATCTTTTTTTAACTTTACTGCTCACAAAGCAAATGTTTGACTACACAGAAAAGAAACAAAAAAATGTGCACAGTCACATTAAGTCTTGAAGGATCTTTGAGCAGATGCCAAAATTTTCTTTTTGTGTTGAGCTTGAACATAACAGCCATGAGAGATAAGAGAACAATGGGTTTTGTTGGTTTTGTCTGGGGATGAGTGAGAGAGTTACTTAAACAACTAAAGAACAATTTGACTGACCTAAAGGTTCCCATTTATCTGCTTTAGCTGGTTCAAGTTAATGATTATAAAAGAGAGACCACTCTTATATCTGTGGCTTAGATCTGCAGCCAGGAGGCAATTAGCTTAGCTTAGCATAAATACTGGAAGCAGAGGGAAACAGCTAGCCTGGCTTCTGTCCAGCAACAGTGAAGTTATCTTTAGAGCCGTCTGTCTTTATTGTTCAGCCTCTACAAAAATGTAAAAACGACAGTTTGCTAATCCTTGAGCATTGGTCATCACTTCCTTTGTATGAGTAGAAC